CAGACAGATAGCTGAAGAAACAGCAAAAGACACAGAGCTGCAGTGTGTCATTGCAAATATGCAAAATGGATGGCCTGTAGGTTCCTGTCCGCTCTTCTACCATCAGAGGTGGACTGAGTGTCGTGGATGGACTATTACTGAAACAACACAGGATTGTCATTCCACGCGCATTGAGACAGGAAGTACTAAAAAAAATACATGAAGGTCATCTGGGTGTTGAAAAATGCAAAAGACGGGCGAGAGACAGTGTTTTCTGGCCTGGAGTAAATAAAGACATGGAGAGACTGATTGGTGCGTGTGACACATGCCAGACACACAGAAACAAACAGACTAAAGAGCCCATGATAGTGACTGATGTGCCAACAGCACCATGGGTTAAAGTTGGAATGGATTTGTTTCATCTCAAAGGTAAAGACTATTTAGTGGTCATTGACTATTACTCAAACTTTCCTGAAATGGCACTACTATCAAACTCATCATCAACATGTGTCATAACACATTAAAAATCAATTTTTGCAAGACATGGCATACCTAACACAGTAGTGAGTGACAACGGACCGTGTTTCAACAGCAGAGAGGGGCAAGAATTTGCGGAACAGTATGACTTTAAGCATGTGACCTCAAGTCCTCATTATCCACAGTCAAATGGGAAAGCTGAAAAGGGAGTTCACATTCTCAAGCAACTTCTAAAGAAAGCTGATGAGAGTGGCTCAGACCCATACATTGCTTTACTCAGCTACAGAGCCTCACCTCTGGAGTGTGGACTGTCACCTGCTGAACTTCTGATGAATCCTAAGTTGCGCACCACACTGCCAAGCTATTCAAAGCAAAAGAGACACCCAAAGCTGCAACACCAACTACAACAACAAAAGATGAAGCAGAAAACATGGTATGACAAAACAGCTAAGCAGCTTCCATTGCTCTCAAGTAATGACACAGTCAGGATTGAGGGTCCTGATGGATGGATTACTAAAGCCACTGTTCTTCAGGAAGTAGCACCGCGATCTTTCACTGTGAGGACAGAGGAAGGACAAATCTTCAGATGCAATCGTCGCAGTCTTATGAAAACAAAAGAAGCTGGTCAACAGCTCAGTGAATCCATCATTGAGTCTGAGTTCACACCTTCACCACAGACAGACTGTGATACTAACACTCCAAGTGAACATGTGGTCAGAAGATCTACAAGGGAAATCAGAAAACCAGATAGACTGAATCTGTAATTGAGAGACTGATTTAATGGATGTTAAAATGGTGTAAATGTTTAGACAATTTCCAAGTGTGTGCTAGTTAGCATTCTGAGTACATTTAGACCATATGTTTATTTGTTATGGCATGGTAGAGAAATCAAAATGTTTGGTTAAAATTGATGTTGCACTATTTGTTTATATTACCTCAAAGAAAGGGGGATGTGTTGATTAGATAGATACACACTCCTACCACAAGGTGTCGCCACATAGTTGTGACCTATGTTTAAATCCACATGTACGGTAAGGGACCCGAACAAGACCTCTTGATTAAACTTGGCTAACACTTTAGCATGGAGCACGAGTCAGTTCATTAATAGACCAACAAACAAAACAAAAACCACCTCGAATGTGTTGTGTTAATGTTATGAAATGTTTTCTCATAAATGATGCGGTAAGCAGAAGGACAGAATTACGTCTAAACTGACGCCGTTTTGCATTTCTATAGGTTGTAGATACGAGCATTGTTGGGTTTGCTGGAAATGTAGACCTGGGTATCGTCGGCGTAACAGTGGAAATGGACATTATGATGACGGAGGATAGTGACAAGGGGGAGTAGGTAGATAATAAACAGGAGTGGACCCAATACTGACCCCTGAGGAACACCATGTGAGACAGTGGAGCAGCTTGACCGGTGGGTGCTGAGACGGACATATTGTTTTCTGTCTGTGAGGTTGGATGAAATCCATGAGAGTGCAGTACCAGTGATCCCAATGTCTGCCAAACGTTTGATAAGCAGTGCGTGTGAGATGGTGTCAAAGGCAGCTGTGAGGTCAAGGAGGATTAGGATGGTGAGCAGTCCAGAGTCAGCTGCACGGAGGAGGTCGTTGGTGATTTTTACCAGCGCTGTTTCGGTGCTGTGCTTTGAGCGGAAACCCGATTGGAAGGGTTCATGAAGGTTGTTTTTGTCCAGGTGTTGTTGAAGTTGGTCAGCAACCACTCTTTCAAGGGTTTTTTAGATGAAGGAGAGGTTAGAGATGGGCCTGTAGTTATTCAGGTCATCTCGGTCAGCTCCAGGTTTTTTGAATGGAGATAATCCATCCCACCTCACAGGTGTGGCATATCAAGATGCTGATTAGACAGCATGATTATTGCACAGGTGTGCCTTAGGCTGGCCACAATAAAAGGCCACTCTGAAACGTGCAGTTTTGCTTTATTGGGGGGGTCTGGGGGGTCCGAAAACCAGTCAGTATCTGGTTTGACCACCATTTGCCTCACGCAGTGCAACACATCTCCTTCGCATAGAGTTGATCAGGTTGTTGATTGTGGCCTGTGGAATGTTGGTTCACTCCTCTTCAATGGCTGTGCGAAGTTGCTGGATATTGGCAGGAACTGGAACACGCTGTCGTATACGCCGATCCAGAGCATCCCAAACATGCTCAATGGGTGACATGTCCGGTGAGTATGCTGGCCATGCAAGAACTGGGATGTTTTCAGCCTCCAGGAATTGTGTACAGATCCTTGCAACATGGGGCCGTGCATTATCATGCTGCAACATGAGGTGATGGTCGTGGATGAATGGCACAACAATGGGCCTCAGGATCTCGTCACGGTATCTCTGTGCATTCACAATGCCATCAATAAAATGCACCTGTGTTCGTCGTCCATAACATACGCCTGCCCATACCATAACCCCACCACCACCATGGGCCACTCGATTTACAACATTGACATCAGAAAACCGCTCACCCACACGACGCCACACACGCTGTCTGCCATCTGCCCTGAACAGTGAAAACCGGGATTCATCCGTGAAGAGAACACCTCTCCAACGTGCCAGACGCCATTGAATGTGAGCATTTGCCCACTCAAGTCGGTTACGACGACGAACCGGAGTCAGGTCGAGACCCCGATGAGGACGACGAGCATGCAGATGAGCTTCCCTGAGAAGGTTTCTGACAGTTTGTGCAGAAATTCTTTGGTTATGCAAACCGATTGTTGCAGCAGCTGTCCGAATGGCTGGTCTCAGACGATCTTGTAGGTGAACATGCTGGATGTGGAGGTCCTGGGCTAGTGTGGTTACACGTGGTCTGCGGTTGTGTGCCAAATTCTCTGAAACGCCTTTGGAGACGGCTTATGGTAGAGAAATGAACATTCAATTCACGGGCAACAGCTCTGGTGGACATTCCTGCTGTCAGCATGCCAATTGCATGCTCCCTCAAAACTTGCGACATCTGTGGCATTGGACTGTGTGATAAAACTGAACATTTTAGAGTGGCCTTTTATTGTGGCCAGCCTAAGGCACACCTGTGCAATAATCATGCTGTCTAATCAGCATCTTGATATGCCACACCTGTGAGGTGGGATGGATTATCTCGGCAAAGGAGAAGTGCTCACTATCACAGATTGTTTCAGATTTGGGAACAATATTTGAGAGAAATGGTTATTTTGTAGAAAATGTTTTAGATCTTTGAGTTCATCTCATGAAAAATGGGAGCAAAAACAAAAGTGTTGCATTTATATTTTTGTTCAGTGTATATATATATATATATATATATATATATATATATATATATATAGAATTTCAGAATGTATGAGAGCACTCACAGCATAATAACGTAACACTATCAGAGACTGGATACATCCCCCCCCCCCTCTCTGGTCGCTACAATGAGGAAATGAAATTACGGGCCAAAAGTTTTATTTACAAGTATTAAAAGTAAGCAGAGGACACCAAACTAGTATATAGTGCCGCGCACATATACTTTCGTTACTAACGTTACTGGTGTGGTGCGGCTGCGGAGTGATACTGGGTGTATGCAAGCCCGCATCTAGGACGCATGTATGTATCATGGCTGAAGACCTGTTAAGTAAATAAAGATGCCTCATACAAAGGTCTACGGATACCTTATTACTCTCCATGACCTGCGGTCAACTATATAGCATAAAGGATTATTACACAAACCAACGGAGACCTGTCTGTCTGCCGCATCTACGCATCTACGCACACACACATACATACACACGCACACTGCACCACACGCACTTACACACTGTACAACACGCACCTACAGCTCCTAAAGCATATAATATCAGGATACAGCCGTTGCGTATTTTATTATGTGAAGCACTAAATGGTTTTAGAAAAATATCGACTGTAGATATCTACTAAACTACAGCATACAAATACAGAGAGTAATGTAGGCCTGTTATACTGAGTGATATATATTATACACACTGCTCTGCTTTCTGCACGGACCTCACAGCTGTTCTTACTGGAAACATCGCGTCGCGATGAAAGCAGTTACTAAAATAATATCCAGGGGATGCATGCAGAGCTGTCATTGGCTGAGATCAGTCCGGCCGTCAAGCCTCTTTTAAACATCACTGTTGCCGGAAATGCATCCGCAGAAGAGCAGTGGAGGACCCATCAGTGTATCCTCGGTTAACGCTCCTCCAGAGAGCCTCCCCGATGCTCGATCCTCGGTCCTCTCGCATTTAGAGAAACGAGATGTCCTTCAAAATGGCACGCTGAAAACCATTTCCAGGTCACTACCGGAGGACCGAGGTGTCGAGGAGGGGAAATTAGAGAAATAAGAAAGGCCCAGAGAGCTGAAGTACCGATAAATCAACAGAAGAAGACAGACAGGAAGTAAACAATAAATGGAACAGCAGAAGAAGACAGACAGGAAGTTAGCACTAAAGGGTACAGCAGAAGAAGACAGACAGGAAGTAAATACTAAAGGGAACAGCAGAAGAAGACAGACAGGAAGTAAACACTAAAGACAGACCAGATAGTTTTACAGCTTGATGTACCTTTGAGCCGGGATCCTGGGGTTTTCCAGAACAGGGTTCCTTCATGGACCAGTCTCCTGCGGAACAGCTCTGAAGGCTTGAACAGTCCCCCATCCCTCACTCTGGTTTCAGAACGCGGGTCTAGCTTGGCCTGGATCTCTTGCAGACGCTGTGTTTTTTCCAGGTCCTCCATCTGCCAACCAGGAAAAAAAGTTACTGTATCTTCCATTTGGAATACAAAAGACAGTTAATGCTAATCTGATTCTATTTCAATGTAATTCAATAGGGGACAACAACAAATTGGTGCTTAATGAATCATTCTAAACATAATCCAGACATGGGAATGACCAACAGTTTGCAGCTGAATTGCAGTTGACTCTTCAGTCAATTTCACCAACATAAAATCAATGCAACGCAAAACAACTAGCTTTTAACTTGGTTCACTTTTAGAAGCATTTTGCCTTATTTTTCTTCAAGGTTTCCACGACTGCCTTTTGTCTTATAATAATAAGATTATAACATAACAGATGTCACACAAGAGAAGCTCAACAAATGCTAACAGCCCATGTATTATATTGCCTTTATATGTTATATCTTATGCTGTATATGGCCAATATGTTTCCAAAACAAATGTGGTACCTGTTGGTCTATTGAACTTAGAAGTTCTCTGACCATGAAGCTAGCCTGGGCTATAGAAGAGGCTTCCTCTTCATCATCTGGAAGAGAAATACAGGACACAGGATTATTAGCTAAGAATAAGAACCTAAAGCACAAATAAAAAGTACAAGACATACTTTATTAACAGGCAAATTACTTTTTGTAGACGGAACATTTACCAAATGTATCAATTTTGCTAATCATTAAACAGATTTAGGTTTGGGAAGATTTCTCAGACATTAACAATCACCAAACAAAACACAAGGGCAGTAAACTGTTAAAGCTTTGGGTGTGGAGGTACACTTCACAGGTATAGTGACTGATCATTATCTTCTTAAATAGGATGCTTCACCGTTCACTGCAGTATTTTCCAGAATACGCTGAACAAGGACAGGATATTTGGAGATCCGCTGAATCACCAACAAGATGCACTCCTGAACACCATGGCGACGCAGCAAGGACCCACGACTCACCCGCTGCCCAGGGACAGAGAGAAACAAAGAAAAAAGGATCCTGGTTGACATTTTATTTTTATTTTGCAACCACACTCAGCTCACCCTGAATGATCCCTGGCAGTGCATGACATTAAGGATTTTTGGGAGATGGCCCTGTGGGCCATCTAAGCTAATTTACAGATGGCCCTGAGCCCAATAGAGATTGCCCTGAAAAATGCGGGCGGACGAAATGACGCACGAAGGGTTAGAACATTTAGATTTGTGCAGGTCTTAGATGCTGTCTGGTGCATTCTCTAGACTGAATTATAAGATGAACCACCACAATATTATATTGTACAATTTCAATTTGATTCTTCATTTCACTTCTTTGTTTGTTCTTGTTTGTGTTTGCTCGCTTCATGCCCTGCATAGCTTTAAGAAATACTTAAGTTGTTGGTCAAGACCAGAGATGGGGTCGTTACTAAAAAAAAGTAATATATTACATATTACATATTACTTTTTAAAAAAGTAATATATTACACTACTTCGTTACTCTCTACATAAAGTAACTCGTTACTTTACTCGTTACTTTACTCGTTACTTTACTCGTTACTTTACTCGCAGGGCCGGCCCGCCCCTCCCTACAGGCAGATCACGCAGACTGCGGCGCACCTACAGTGTGCGCGCCACAGTTTTGCCTCTGCGAGACTCCACTTGCACCCCCAATTACTATTGCATTAAGGAAGACATAACACAAGTCTTTCTTTTGATATGCTCTAAAATAGGCTACCAGCCTACCACAACAAGCTAACAGTCTGTGAAACGTCAAGACACTAATTAATGAAACCAGTTCAAGACGCATTATTCTTATCATTCTTTATGAGGGCAGTAACGGTAAGGTATCTAATTACTTATGTATTTAGTATTCCATAACTTAGTAACAGAGATGGTCAAACTAAAGAAGCGGGAAATTGAACTGTTCACCCGTGAGAGGGCGATCAACAAAAGAGAGCGAGCGGCCCCGTTGAGGGAGTTTACAGATGAAAAGACTCAGCCATGTTTATGCAGCACTGCACGCGGAGATGTGGTCTCGCAAGTCGCGCAGATTACATAGGCCTACATGTATATAAACCTGCGGCGGAAACCCCTCTAGTCTGTCAGTGAGTGTGATTATTTTATAAAAGTAACGCGTGTCGGGGCAATGCTAGTAACTGTAGTGTGATTACTAAATTATAAAAGTAACGCGTTACACTACTCCGTTACCGACAAAAGTAATATTATTACACCCAACTCTGGTCAAGACACTTTCCATCTGATGAAGGCAAATGCCTTCCCAGATGTAAAAAAGTAGAAAACATTACATTCAGTTATAACTGCCAAAACAAACATTATTTACACTATTATGGCCCCTGTTAAAAATGTTTGTAATGTTATCTACTGTAAATTGGTCCAACGAATGCCTCCTCATCCGGAAGCTGACCGAGCAGACCCGAGCAGCAGTCGAGAGGAGCCGAGCGCATCCGCGAAGCACACAAAATGGCGACGTCAGAGTTCCCGTTAGCCGGCAAATCTAAATCTCTTCGGTCAAAATAATTTCCCTTTAGCGCAATACCGCTTCAGTTGCGCCACTTATGTGACAGACAAGAAGAGTATGTGACAGACCAGAATAGTCAATTCTAATGTCTAACACTTAATTATTTCACACACAGTGACGTCACGAGCTACCCACAATGCAACGCGCGCCATATATATATATAAATACGCCATTTTCCTGGAGGTGCTAATATCCTGGAGGTGCTAATAATTACAGCTAGCTAACGTAGCCAGGCAGAGCGCACTAGGTTTTTTTTCTGAATTAACGACAGAAGAAATCGCTGCATGTCTTTGGATTACATCTCTGGACTTGAGGGGTGTGCTCTAGGTCGTTACCAGCGTAAACTAGAGCTGTGTGGGTTGTCGGATTGCCCTTACAGACTGCCTGCAGATGTATGGAAAAACGACTCTCGAAAGTGGCCTTCGGTCGATTTTGGCAGCATCTACGTCTATCTTCTGGAAACACCAGGTGAATACCCCACTTGTCACAATAATATTATCATGCCAATGCATATATGTGGTATTTTAGAGTTGACTAGATATTGATTAAGGCAATAGACTATGATATTCTGCTTGCACCTCGTGTGAAATGGCGGATACCGGAAGTACGGTGTCGCCCTCAGCCCAAAACCCGTATGTGTATGTGAAAGAATGTGGAGAAAGAGATGTCCTGTATGGGTTGATTGTGCGTTGATCTGTTGGTAATGCCTCGGGTTCCGGTGGGCATGTAAACAAATGCATAATGCTGCGCTATACTTTGTGGCCTCACCCAGTTGCATAGCGACACTTATTGTTTAGGTGTCTTTTAATAAGCAGGTAGTCCTATCATTAGCTAGAACTAGCTGGATCTGATCGATATGGACATAAACGCGAGTGAAGTCTAATCTGACGAGAGAGATCAGCTGCTGCTGACTAGTCGACACGCATGCAGCGGTGAGCGGACAAAACACACACTTCAGGTTAGAATATCACACGTAGCTATTTTAATTACCTCTCAAACTACCGTAACTAGTTATAGATATGTTTAGTTGTACTGTCGGGTCACTCATTACTGGATCCGCGAGCTGCATGATACTGGCATAATAGATTGCCCGATCGGGCAACCAGCAGGTGAGGCTTCATTGTCCGAGCTAAATACTAGATGGCCCCGGGCCATCGGGCGGGCAGTCCTTAATGTCGAGCCCTGCCTGGTCTGCATCCATCCCAATACATCTATAACCACCTTCTGGCTCAATCCCCAGCCCAATGGTAGAGCGAGTGCATGCGCCCATTGTAACTAAATGGCATTGCTGCTCAGGAATAAAGGCATTTACACATTTGACTGCAGGAATCTATGTACCATAATATTAGATTAATTGATAGGTCAGCAGAATAAGGTCCAGTCAGAACACACGATAGGTTAAAAATATTTTAAAGTCCATTGTTGGTGGGGCATTAGAAGCAGATTTGAGTTGAGGACAGCAATTCAGCCAATCCACTGATAGAAGACATATAATATTCTAGGTGGTGTATACTTATTGTTTCCTTTAATCTGGAAATGATGGGCTTCATCAGCAATTGTGTCTTTACAAACCAGGGCCTTGGGAGGTTTACTTAGACCCCCGACTCTGTGTTACCAACACATGGGGTACAGTTGATGCTGTGTCTCTAATGTGTCTCACCCGTATGAAGCACTGGAACTTCTTGTCTCTGGCCAGCAGTTCCTTGTACAGTTTGGCAGCCTTCATGTGGCGGCTGCAGAACTCAGCGTAGGTCTTCCTCATGTCGTCTGCACACTGACCTGAGAACTGCAGAAGAACAGAGTGGTGCTTTGTCTGTGTCTTAAAGGTTAATGGAAGACACTGTTCTGACCTGCTATCTCTTATCTACCATTAGATACAAATCTAAAAGGTAATATAAATATTTTATTAAAAATATATAATCTATTTTAACATTTCATTGTAAAAAACTGCAGTTCAACTAAAATAACAATACCAACTCAAGTTAGGCTTATAAATAACTTATACAAGAGCTTAATTGAATACTAGATACTGATTGGTCAATTTGGATATCCAACAGTTTGCTCCTTTTTGATAGCAGACTGTTAAGGACGCTTGATCAAGGGACTGGTCTGGTAAATGTAACGTCAGCTGTGACCAAAACACCACTACTTGTTGAATATTTGTATATTTATGGAAAGAAGACATTTTCGGATTCATGATGGCTAAACTGAAATAATCTTCGCCGTATAAGACGCACTTTTTTTCATAATGCAGGTAATACGATGATAATAAATCAATATCTTGTGTCAAATTATTGATTTATTTGCATCTATTCAGGGTCATTCAAAACCCTGTGTCCCTGATACCGGCACACCCTGTCAAAGTTGCTAAGCCATAGAATTACACAGAAGTATTTTCTGTCTTAACCATGCGTGACGTGTGCAGTGTTTCTGTCACCTGCTCTAGAAGAATGTCTCCCAGCTGGTGGATGGTGTAGTTGCGGTATGATCCAGGCTGCAGGCTGCAGTTGTGCCGCAGGAGAAGCTGAGCCAGGAAGTGGGAGTGTATCCTGATCAGCTGGTCCAGGCAGGGGAACATGGCATGAACGGTGCACAGGTCCATCTGGAGCTCATCCAGCATGCCCTGCCGGAAAACCCTTTCCATGATGTGCAGCGTTCTCATGTGGTGCAGCTCTGTCTGAATCAGCTCTGAGAAGAGCACACACATACATATGATTGAGTCTAAAGGATCTGTGTTCAACGATACATTAAATGTCTGTACTATTGGGATGAAAGATAAAGATGAATATACGTCACCATAGATGACATCCTGCCTCTTGATGATGTTCTTGCGGTGTGTTTGCAGGTAGCTGCTGTCCACGGCCATGCTCCAGGAGTCAGCCTTGAAGTCCTGTCCCTCAAGCTCCAGCTCTTCTAATACTGAACTATAGTAGTTGTCTCCTAATTAAGAGAACACCCACAAATGCTGTTAGAGCTGCACAGTGATAAGTGACTCAGGAGTGAAAAGACAACTTGATCCTTCACTTGTTTCGACAATCTGTTTCGAATGTCAGCAGATTACCCTGTGCAGTCAAACTTGTGTTAAGGTGAATATAGTTATATATGTTTTAGTAATTTCAGACATTCATCATGTACAATATAGAGTACATCATCAGCAATCATCATATCAATAAACAGAAATAACAGCACAAAACATGACATCTCAACTTTACTGTAGACCTATTTACTACACTGCATTAAAAAGAGTTTGTATTAAAGTGCTCTACATATCATAAACATATATGAAATGTATCTTATATAACTCAAATATATCAAATGTTTTTAGAAATACGTCAAAAATGCTTCTTTGGTCTCCCCACTCTGTGAGTGGTTGGCCAGTGTATGTTTGATTCATTTAATAGATTGACTTTAAGCTTGGTCACTTTCCATAGCTTGCTCATGTAAATGTGTCCTGTCTTAGTCCTCTGTGCTGTGTCTCAATTTGCGTACTTAGGTCCTTACATTTGCTATTTTGAGTGCATAAGTGCTTACTTAGCGCAAAGTATGCCGGATGTTGTGCACTAAGAGTTCTAGCATTGTGGACTCATAACATTAAAAAAACATGCGTGGAACATTGGACACTTCTCACACTCAACAATCCCCATCTTATGCAAATAAAAGTTATACATGTTGTCTTGGTGATTGAGCAGTCTGTTTTGATTTGCTACCCCTACGACAACATTGCTAGCTACAGTAGCTAACTGGATAACATAGGCGATAGTCTCTTCCTGTGAGGGCACAGCAGCCATGTCTGATATGAGACAACACCACCTGTTCCAACACTCTGAAACTACAGTGTACAACATGCGGCAGGGCTGCCCCTGGTCAACTTCTGGCCCCACACAAAATTGTGTGATGAGGCCCCCCTGGCTTCTGTGTTGCAAGCATCAACAGGGGGGAGCATGCTCGTGCACTGCGAGGTCCTGTATCCACCCGTTTGTTAACTCAACATGGGCCTCAAAAATGTATTATGTATATATTTTTAAATTGCCAACAGGTGTAGGCACAACACAAACTACAACACTATAGTACAATAACACTCCTCTGTTTCTGCTCAAAAACGGCTGATACGCCCCAGAACAAACTGCAGTTTCCATTCCCTGTTGCACTTATGACTCTCCGGAAGGCTTTCTTGCCTGCTTTCTAAAAACCAGCTTACTCACTTGACCTATGGCACTGACATTACTTTTATCATTTTGGTGTGAAGATGTGTAGTTTCTCGTACCGTCATCGTTCAGGGACTCTATTGACATAGCTCTGTTCCTGAAGCTGAGGGAGTCTGTGGACTGGGACAGGATCCTGCGCAGCCCCAGGGTGGAGTCCTCACTCAGGGTCCTGCAAGACACACACACTTACTGAGACTTTAGTGAGGAAAGCCATTATTTATGATCAGTGTTTGAACCCAGACAGCCTATGTGACAGGAAGAAAGAAGCCTCTTAATATAAGAAAGTTCAGAAAGTCAAGAAGCAGAACATTTACAGTTTATGGCAAAAGCTATTAAAGAAAACATTTGCGCATTAGAGAAAGTGCAACAGTAAAAGATCAAATGAATAATGGCTGAGTTCCATTTAGCTGCTTTGGTGTTATGCATGCTAACTTCCTGTTGCTCACCCTGGAACACATGAACACATCAGTGTTGTCAGTGACATTATTAAATGCATCATTTTAACCTTTATTTATTTGGATGCGATAACAGGGTTATTGATATTGGTTACATTCTATGTGTTTATTACCTTTCATAAGCATTTTTATGGGCTATGTAGCCGTTTTTCTTACAAAAAAGGGAAATCCTTGAAGTCAAATGTTTGCCTACACCTCTCATTAGACAATAACCCACATGTATAAATAGTACAGTATGAATTAGATGAACAATGACCACACATTTGAGGAAAGACAGCTTTTAGCATTTTAAAAGTCTGTCACCTGTCTAGTAGAACATTCAATTGTTTAAAAAAAAGTGCTACAGTCCTGGGGGCTGACGTAGTAATATAACAAATGAAATGCCGACTACCTCTTATTTAGTGACCCCATGGTTCATTTGCCGATCACCTTGAAACAGACTTTTTTTCCAGAATTTGTATTTTCTTTTAAAATCATTTTGTGACATTCTCACTGAAAAGACTTGCAATTATTTGCCCCAGACTTCTGCTTTCAGACGTAGTTAATTATGAAGTTATTACCCTATCTGATAATAATCCAATGCAGAGGCAATAATGTAATATAATACATTATTTAATATACATATATATTTATATATGTATTTGTATATAGTCTTAAAGTTACAACCGGCCCTTTGAGTGCAGCCCTAATGCTGATGTGGCCTGCGATTAAATTGAGTTTGACCCCCTTGGGGTAGAGGTTAGACCCAAACCCATGGGTACGTGGGTACACATATGTTTCATGTGGAACTACTTGAGCAGGTCTCCCTTGAAAAAGAAATCAATGATCTCAATGGGATTTATCTGTATAAATAAAGGTTTGAAATGAAATGAAGGCCAGAGAGATGTGCCTTAGGGTTGCTTGCATTTGACATGTTACTATAGCATTGGCCAATTAAAGCGAGGCTCACCCTGCGATATTGTTGGTGGACACACTCTTGGACAGGGACAGGCCGGAGCGACCCCGTCGGGACCCCAGCAGGGTCTGCCTGAAGCTCTCTGAGGGGTAGATGGCTGAGGTGGGACGCTCGCGCATTCCTGGAGCTACGGAGGAAATGTTGCAGGTAGAGGAGGGAGAGCACCATGAGGGAGAGTGACGAGGGAAAGACATGGAGGAGGAGGAAGAGGAGCATAGTGACAGCCAGACCTTTGTGTTTAGGAGGAAGAAGAGCAAACAGGAGTAGGAGGGATTGAGTGGGTGGAGGAGAGGAGTAGGGATAACATCAAGGATGCTTGGTGCAGTTTCCCTGATGTTGAATTTCTAATGATAAAGATGACGGATGTTTTTTCTGCCAAGATCATTTACCATTGTTGGTTGTTGCTGACATTTACATTCCTCCTGAAGAATATTTGAAAACTTGAACATCATTAATGTAATCATGAATGGACTAGTGTTGCAGAATGCCAATAAATGATTGTTGGATATGTTGAGAGACGTTTAATAGGTAGAAAATGAACAACGTTTTGAGGAAGAAGAGAATCAAATGCAGGAAAGGAGGAACAGATACAAATAGAACTACATGAGGTGGTGGAAGGAGACTGAATACATCTGAGTGTGTGAAGAGCTCTCACTTTTTGTGCGCAGCGTGACAGTCTGCAAGGCTGAGCTGTTCCGCATTAGGGCCGTCTTCTGTTGCTGTGTTAGACAAAGAAATTGATCAGTATGAACATGTAAAATAGCATACTCAATTTTCAAAATGGTTACAGTTTAAGATATGCAATGATTCAATTGTTCACTGAAGTAAATATCCATATATTCAATTGTAACCTCAGTAGTATCTTGTTAAAACATCTCATCTATGGTTGATTTGGAAATATAGTTTATGAAATAAGTTTGCTCCATGTCCACATCGCTTTTTAAGATGTATTCTCTGTTTCTGTCTAATATTGGTGAAACAGCTTTATAGTCTTTCCTTTACATTCTGTCAAATGTGTTTGTGTTGTATATTTACTCTTGGTCCCAAGAGTAACAGTGGACATGTGTCACAATCTAGAACTAGCATTTTTGATTGATGAACAAATATTTGATCATGGTCTTCAAATGACTCGCTAAATATGAGCGTAAATAATAAACCTTTAAAACGTAGATAAGATCTGTCAATTATGAGAGCTGAGGATCAGTGGTGTAGCCTTTGTCTTACCCTCTGTTTCATTTTGGCGCAGTTTGGCAAAGCGTCTCGACAGCGATTGTGGATAGTGACGTTGCATGCTAAGGAAGAACAGAGGTAACATAAAGAACAAAACACTATTTGTTACATCTTGTTGAAGAAGCTAGTAGAAAACCTTTTAGTTTTTAGTTACGTTTATTCCACTGAATTATTATTAAACAAAACATCTACACTTAAAGCAGTTTTTAGCCGATGATGGAAAGGAGCAGGGAGAAGAAAGTCTTATTTGACTTCCCTTACTCAAAATGTATGGTCTGTCAATCACAGCTGATTACAACCAATACTTACAGGAACTTCAAACCAGAATCACAAGTCAACATAACAACCTTGCATCGGTGAAACAGGTTACCTGTCATCTTCATCATTTGAATGATTCTTTCTTTATACATTTTTGTAAACCTAAAGATGTTCATACAGCCCCCAAATCATTTGTTAAAAATCTCAACAGTCTAATGCCAACTGCAGAGATATACATCTGATTTAAAGTAGTGTGTGCAAACAGATTTTGAAAGTGAAATGTTATGCTTTATGCACAACCAATGAAGTGTGAACAGCCTTGACTCAGTGTGTGTGTGTGTGTGTGTGTGTGTGTGTGTGTGTGTGTGTGTGTGTGTGTGTGTGTGTGTGTGTGTGTGTGTGTGTGTGTGTGTGTGTGTGTGTGTGTGTGTGTGTGTGTGTGTGTGTGTGTGTGTGTGTGTTCTCGGGGATATGTGTCACACTCCCAGGTTTATGTCACGGTTTTAGTGTTGTCTGTCTGGTTATGGGTTTTGTAAGTCTGTTCATTCAGTGTTTTATCTTCCTCCTTGTGTTTTGTCTGGTCCTCCTCCCTGTCGTTAGTGTCCCTGGTGTGTCTGATTGTCTCATTGTGTTCACCTGTTGCCCTTGTGTTTCTCCCTCCCCTGCCCAGCTGTGTCTTGTCCTGTGATTACGCTTCTGTGTATTCAGTCTTCCCCTGTCTTCCATGTCGGTTCTTTGATTGTCTCTCCTGTCTCCCTCCATGTTGGTCACGGTCAGTTTTGTGTATTCTTGCTACCTTGTACTATCAATGTTTTTTATTCATGCCATGTTTTTTTGTTTTTCAGCTTTTAAATAAAGCTCGCTTTTGTTTATAACCTTTACCTTTTTGTAGTCTGCATTTGGGTCCTACCTTTTCCCGCGAATCCTTGACAGTGATTCTAACAATATGTTTTATGCACATTTCTCACGGGCAGGACTTTTTCTTGAATACTTCCCCTGTTCTTCTGCCCCTCTACCCACCTCTCAGTGTCTTGAAGTGAACTGTAACTGAACTGTAACTGTGACTTACTGGGGCAGCTGAGCGCCTCCTTGGCAGTGATGCTCTTGTTGCATGCTGAGCACAGCGTATTCCCTGACACGGTCAGAGAGGTGAACAGGTGACCGTTGCTGTAGCGAGCCTCCCTCTCCCTCGCTGCTTTCTCTCGCTCCCTCATGCGTTCTCTCTCTTTATTCTGAAAGAAAGAAACACGAAATGTGAAAAAATGACTTCCTGTATAAAGCAGAATGTATACTCAGCATCTACGCGCTGACCTCTGTTAGCCTCGAAGGCATTGCATGTGTTCAAAGAGGCCCTATTCTGCTTTTTGGGGTGTTCCCTCTCCTATACTGTGTTTTAGTGTGTAGATTTTAGTGCATGTAAATGGTCTGCAAAGGCTGAAATTCCTGTGTTCCCTCCAGAGGGAGTTTTCTCCCCCCCTGCCTAAAACGCCTCCATTGGCGACACATTGTACATGATATTATAAGGGCGGGACATCTCTTAGCGGTTGACCAATCACAACAGGGCCGGCCAGCTAACCAATCAGCTTTTTGAACATTAAAGCATGGAGCCACGTCCCAGTAGAGACACTAAATGCTAATATGAACCCGAACATCAGCTGAATAGGGCCCCTTTAAAGACTCATACGACTGAGTTAGGAGCAGGCTGTTGTGGACACAGCAGACACCTTTGAATCATCCTCACTCTCACTGAAGGCAAGTTGTAATTCTGCTCTTTGTAATCGTTGGCTGACCGTATTGGTTTAATTTAGTTTCATTAGGGACGGAAGAGACAGAACTCCTCTACAGCAAGGTCATAGTATGCCATGTTGGCATGATTTGAAGAAGCTTTTTCTCTTTGGCAGTGCATGCATACTGGTCCACGTATTCAATCTAGGTGTGTGGTGCAGTGGATAGAGCCTTGGTATTGTGATCAGGGGAGCACAGGTTCAAACCCCAGTGCAGTCAGCATGTCGTTGTGTCCCTGAGACACTTCACCCCAAATTGCTCCTGTGGGGATTGCCCACAGTATTGAGTATGTAAGTCGCTTTGGATAAAAGTGTCTAATAAGTAATGTAATACAAACAAGTTATATTTGCTTTAATACTTTGTCTCGGTTCATTAATCTGCTTACTTAGTTTACTGAGATTTACTAAGAATGTTTATTTTAGCTTTATTTTGGGTATCCTCCCCAGTGGCTCCCTCTTATAAAGCAAGGGGTTACACATAGTCATTTTCCTAGGTTTATTATATTGTCTATTTGCTATTTACTTTTTTTTCTTCTCAGAAAAGAACGGTCCAAAAAGCCAATGGGATTTCTCTATTGGATTTCAGAATACATGTTTATGATATTTCATTTCATTTCAAACCTTTATTTATGCAGGTGAATCCCATTGAGATCATTGATCTCTTTTTCAAGGGTGACCTGATGATATCAGGATCATCTCCACATATTGACACCACTTTATGATTTCTGAAGCACAAATGCGTTCAGCAGGAATAAGAACCTCTTATGGCTGCCTATCACCACCGCTACACTAAAGGCGGACTTGTGACGGCGTGATGATGATTTAGACACTTGTTAGCAACCGCCATTTTTATCCTCATATAGAAGCTGCAGACATTCACTAGCGGGAGATTTACTGACATATTTCATGCTGTAGAACAAAACGTGAACATTTCTTCAGCTTGTTTTAACCACAGACCTTATTTCAGGCTTCTAACCAGAACAAATGTGTGAGACAAGGGAACAGGAAGGCGTAAACACTAAATATTTCCCGGGTATAAAGGACTCATTCCTGTGCCCCTCTATCGAGACGACAGATCTACCAGTTCAAGACAGTCTTTCATTATATTGTAATCTACACTGCATAAGTGATCACAATTAGCCAAATAAACTAAAGCCAGGCTTATAGTGATCATGTGATGTGACGTTCGCGAACGATCCGATTCTTTTGAAGGGCTCTTTGGTACGAATGAAGGGAACCGAGTTCTGCTTGGTGAGAGCTGTTCTTTTTATCGTTGGTTGCCATAAATCCACTTGCCTTTAAAGGAACTTGCTTTCCTGAATGCACATTAGCCATAGATGATGGCATAACGCATGCTGCTTCAGTAGTAGTTTGGCTGGCTGAGAGATGAAGCAAGTTATACATGTTTCTGTGAGTAAAAGTAGATTTTTGCCAATACAGTCAATCATTATCCTGGTGATTATTTCGCAGATAAGCCTATTAACCCCGCCCCCTTTAAAAAAAACGGCTCTTTTGAACGGCTCTCGGAAAGGAAGGGAGCCATAAGATCCGGCTCCCTTCAAAGAGCCGTAATTCCCATCACTACAGGCTTATCCATAGCTTTATTAAATCCGGACATGGTTTCTGCAGTAGTCTTCAGTACTCTTTAGAACCTCCATGTGCTGCTTGTCTCAAACCCCAGAACAGTTTTACGTCTCTGTGAGGATGGAGTCACCCAGATTGATTCCTAAGGCAAGGCAAGGCAAGGCAAGTTTATTTATATAGCACCTTTCAACACAAGGCAATTCAAAGTGCTTTACAAAAAACGAAAGACATTAAGAAAATGGCATTTAAAATCAATCATTAAAAAGAAAAGATAATAAAATAAACATTAAAAAAAGGGCATCAATGCACCCTGGGTAATTGAAGTTTAGCTTTCCTGACCGATATATTAGTGACAAAGCCAAAGTACAGACACTGCAGGAAGAAATGAACACCTGAACACATTGTGTGTCCTATAAGAGGATGACAGGAAAAGGTGAAGTGTTCAGAGGGGAAGTTACCCAGCATGCACTTTTCATCCTGTAGTACAGGCTGAATATCCTCAGAAGGTATAACTGGTAGTTTATGATCATGAAGGGTTATGAACTGATTTATCTGATGTTGAAGTGAAATGAAACCCACCAGGTGAACCTTGTCCTCACACAGCTGCGCAAACATTGTTTGTTGACTGTGCAAGCTTGAGCTAATTAATGTTCCCAGTGAGTAAGGTTCTGTTGTCACCAGAGATATAACAGAGCTTCTATACAACATGACACTGCAGTGGGGCTTCTCTCAAATATGCCTCTTGAAGCCCTTGTGTTTTTTCTCATAGACATCCATCTGTGCGGTCTGTAACGAGATTGTTATGGGGTGATTAAGTATTGCAAAGTATGCATCAATTTTAAGAGAAAAATATTTATGTTTGTGTGGTCCAAGCAAGATTATAATTGCAATATACATGATTGTCTTCTCTTCCTTGTAGTAGATACAAAAGTTTTTATTTTCTATAGTTGTTGTTGCTATTTATAGTAATGTGCTGCAGTAGTTTGGGATTAACACATCATGTTTCTGTTCTAGATAATAATAATAATGCATTTTATTTATATAGCGCTTTTCACAACTCAAAGACGCTTATGCAGATTACATTGGGACTAGCGAGGAGGAACAGTCCCGAACAACGTCCTCCACATCAACTCCAACTCGACCACACACGGAACAAACCCCAACACGAGCACAGACACCAAAGTCTAGTGCCAGCTTGACACCGCAGCGTTCTAGGTAAGAAATAGGCTGGAATTGTGACTTTTTTTTAAACTTTAGATCATCCATAGTCAGTAAGTAAAATAAGCTTTACCACTGTGTGGAAATGCTCTGTTACAAGTAAAGTAACTATCTAGTAAGCAGCTAGTACGTACAATTGTGTGACAGCGGGGGCTATGCTGGTAGATCGCGAGTCAGTCATAAAAAAAAAAATCCAGCTCCGTTAAAATAGACAACACAGGTTTTGATCCCTCCTCCCTTGGCCTCCCTGACACTTAATTCAGGAGTTTACTTGATTGACAGAAAAAGCGACCTATCGCGTTCCAGTCTGTTAACCCAGAATGCAAAGCGATACAAAATCAGTCAAGTGCCGGGAAAACTCAAATGAAGTTAAAGAGACAAACAACAAAATGAGTGCGGGACCGAGCAAGAAGCTAAAGACAAACCACTTCCACCCAGAATGGGAGGAAGAATATTTGTTTGTGATGTCACATTCAAAGGTTATTTGGCTTATTTGTAAAGCAAGCGTCGCTCTGCCAAATAAAGGTAACGTGGAGAGGCATTATCGGAGTGTTCACAAGGCATATGACAGCGACTTCCCTCCGAGTAGCGAGTTGAGAAAGAGAAAGGTCATGTATTATTGCTACACAAACATTATCTCGCAGTCTTACCCCCTAATCCCACCAGGAGCGTCTGCGCTGCGTCTGCGCTGCGGCTGCGGCGTTTTTAGCGATCGCGGCCACTCTAGTGGCTCGAAGCGTCCCAGAAGCTCCTCGCCGCAGGGAATTTCTAAAATATAGGATGAATCCTATTTTTGACGCGGCGCAGCGCGGCGCAGGCAGGAAGTGGAACGTTCATCCAACAACTGCGAGGCTGCACACACGACGCTCCGCTTCCGCAACGTTTTGAAACGCGCCTGGTGGGTTATGACGCAGGAGGAGGTCGCAGCGCGGCGCAGACGCTTCCGGTGGGATCAGGGGGTTAGTGTTGCCAACTCGTTTCTATCATGCAAAAAGACAAACAAATGCGTCTATTATGGGCATAGATATGTCTCATAATTATTTGTGTGAACATACAAATTATTTGTGTGTAAATATGTGATTTGTAAATGTAAAACAACATCCACAAATGCATTTAAAAGATTTGCAAACTCACAAATAAATGTGCAAGTCTAAAACGGATCTGCAAATACGCTAAATATTTTCACAAATAAAAAAAAAGATCTGTGATTATCTCTTTAACATTTACAACTTTCGATCAGGCATTTGTGAATCCATTTTGTATTTGTCGACCAAAAATGCACTTGCGGATCTCAAATCTCTGCTTGCGGATCGTCTTTTTACACACACGGAATTTTGAGACATATTTTCCGCTGGTCTCGGCTAAAATCTACTCGTGTCACTCGGTTAGTTTCGGAAACCACGTGATTGCCTGCTGATGGCGACATTTCCGCATGATTTCAAAGTAAGAGCATGATGGTTTGTTTAATGCTCTGTTTTTGTATTATAATGAACAGCGGAACGTTGGATGCATTCTTTATCACCATCATCATCAACATCATGTTATAGTGATACAGTTAGTTTGTGTTAGTTTATTGGTTCAATACAGCATATATTGAGCACTTTCGTTGATGTTGAAGTCCAGGCTATACGCCACTTTCGGGTCCC